GGCACAAGAAAGAAAACAGAAGGGAGGATCTGAATATTTTTAAGAGGAAAACAATAATTCTGGAACATGAGTCAAAGCAAATTCAAGAAAAGTCCCATTCCTAAATCACTTACATAATTTGTCCATATCCTAGTGACTTCTTCATTTAATTTTAGGTGGGGAGAGTGGTTAAGGACTGGGATAAGTGAGTTACAATTAGTTTAACTTCCTGTGTCTTAACAGTACTGAAATTCAGTATGCCATTTGGAAGTTGCTGTCAATTCTTCTATAAAAGGTGAAAAAAAAAGAGGTGCCAGATTTCTTCTTTGAAGCAAAAGATTTCTTAGATCCTTGCCTGAAGAAACTCTTTATTTTGGCAGTCACAGACAAAACCCTTGTGATTTGTGTTTCGGAAACCTCAACTGCAAAATCTGTTGATTCTGAAATCTCATGTTATTTAGTTTTCTCAGTAGTAAATAACAAGAATTTAAGAATGAAAAGAGATCAGGATTATCAGGATGAATGTATGACAATCAGAAGTTTGTTTTCCTTTGTCAAATAGTGATGGTAACATATTTTTCAGATTCAGTCAATAAGCAGTGAAGTTGCATTCTTTCCTCTGTATGCTTCAGAGCTCCATACAAGGTCATTTTAGCACTCATATGAATATCAGCAAAAGCAAAATGTTCTTTGGGCATGTTCTTTTTGTTCCTGGCTATTTCCAGAGAAAGGAGCTGAACACTAAGGTTTGCTTGTCAAGTAGAAGGGAATAGTCTCCATAGCAAAACCTAGAAATGGCAGCACACTCTATGCCCTACATGGATGTGTTTTTTTCACATAGGAGGCCTACAAATGTAGATGACATACAAGGAATACAAATAAACTTGTTCTGTATGATGCATTTTCACCTCCTTCTTCAAATTTCAGTTAAAATTTCATTGATTTGTTTTAATATGTAGTCTATGATTTCTTGCCAAAACCTTGTTAAGACTGACTGCTCTGGTGGTATCTCTGAAACATCACCATGGAATTGACAGCCTCCAGTAATCTTAATTTCGGACAACTGGCTGAAGGTGACCTAAATGGGGGTCACCCACAGCTGATAGCTGCTGATCTGCTTGGCTGTATCAATGCTGATTGAGGAAGCTGGTTCCCAGTGCCAAGTCACTGAATGGCAGCAGAAAGGCTGGGAGAGGGTGACCTTATCCTCTGTCTGTCTCTAGGGTTTAAACTGAAGTTAGGAATAATGCCATTACCCTCGTGTACTTCTTGAGGAAGTATTTTAATACACAACTTGTTATTTATCGGTTTTCCCACTTAAAGTTTTTCACATACTGAAGGATTCCCAAGTTGCAAGTAAGGAAAAAAAATCACCTGTCAAGAAAATTTAGTTGTTTATTTTTTAAAGTTTCTAAGGCATGGAGTGCTTAAAGCTATCAATCAGGGAACAAGCCAAACAGGTGACAGATTTTAAAGGATTCTTAGTCACTGCACAGACTTTAAGTGCTACTCACTTGGCAGAGGGGTTATGTTGCATTCATAACTTGATGATCTGGGTGGATCCCTGCTGCAACTGATTGCCAAGTAGTGTAAGTTACTGTGAGTGCTTAAATGCAGCCTTGTAGCTTTTTCTTCTCAGTAAAGGGAGACAATGACAGTGAGATAGGCAGCCTCCAGTAGCAAACTCCATGGAGAGGTGCATGCAAGCATAGCCACTCCTCCTGCTGCCACTGATCCATTATGATTATCATAAAAAAATTGAAAGGACATTTTCACTTTTAATATTGACTGGTACTATCATTAGGAAATCTTCTCAGGAATCTTTTCCATCTGTTTGTGGTTATAATCTTTGTTGCTGCAATTATATAGCACAGTTGTTCATTTTGTGGCACCGTCCTCTGACGTTCTCTTTGGGGGTCAGCAATGTTTATTGCTGTAGCACGCTGGTTTTCCACATCTAAATATTTCTTAATATACTTGAAGGAATTTTTTATCATCACTGGTAGCCACCTCCACACTGAATATTCATAAAGACTGTGAGAGAAGGTTCTTATAATTCTCTAAGATACCTTGTAAAAGATATATTAAAATGTATGCAAAACAATGTCTTTGAAAGAGATAATTTTGAAATTGGAATGGTTAAGGGGAATTTCTCATAGAAGTACAGATTTGCTAAAAATTTTGTCTACTAAGAGATGCCATTCTAAGAGATAACTGAAAACATATTGCTAAAGAAAACCATACTAAATGTTGCTACCTTTACTAAAGATTTCTAAACATCTATGTTTGATATCTTTTGATATTGTTTGATGGGGAAGCTTTCTAACACGGAAAAAAACCACATGGACTCAAAAGTAAGTAATGTGAAAAGGCTGCAATATCTCCTGGATTCCAATCCCTAACCTGTTAAATTATCACAGATTTCACAGACTTCCCTGCCATAAAATGAAGTTAACAGAGTGTTCATAGGATCTCAGGCCCAGGGATTTTTAGAACATCTGTAATTTGGTCTTCTAAAGTCTCCTGATTTTTAGGTTTTTTTCTGAGCTTGCAGTTGGAGTAATTTTTAATTTTGATGTCTACAGTTAAGTGGGATGAATTCCACCCAAAAATTTTCTGCTTAGTCCAATAAGTCGTGCTGGGTTTATTTCTGAAAATGTTGCTATCTCCTGATTTTTAAGATGTTCACCTCCTTCTACATCAGTTTGATAACAAGATTATGGCCTAATTTGTGCAAGGCCAATGTTTAAACTGTAATAACACCAGGTACCTCAGATTTATTTTCACCAAGACTGATGATATGCTTTACAAAAGACATGGGAACTCATTGTCTGACTTTATTTTATCTTTCAAGGTATCTATCAGGTCTTTAATATGTTACTCAATTTAGTAAAATTGATTTTTTTTTGTTTCAAATCAGCAGCTTAAGAAAGTTGATCAAACCTGTCTGAAGGCTCCAACATAGCCTGGGTCATTTGTAGAGCATAAAATTTTACTAATTATTTAATTTTTTAACTGTACCATAAAAGACAATTTTAATTATTTTAAAGTAGAAAACAGATGTTAGTGAATTTGCATGGGCTAATTAACTTTCTACAAATACCTCACTGTGAGTTCAGAAAGCTTCAATTGCAGAAATTAAACATATCAAAAGAACACAGTCTAATATGCCCAAAACAACGTAGAATTGTCTGAAATGTGAGAAACATATTAATGGTTATTCAAAAATTGAATTCCATTGGGTTTTTTAATGTGAGCTGCATTAAAAATGAAAAAGAAAAGAAAAATAAAGAACACTTTTTTTCTTTTATAACTACTTTTTCTTTTGTAACTAGCACAAGTCAGCCCAGAAGTCCCACAGGTTAAATGTTAATCTGCAAATAAAGTAGTGATTCCTGTGTTTGTCCCTGAACAAACAGGCACTGTCACTTTATTTAGCAACCACTCCAGTCTGTGCAGTTGTTGAAGGGGTTGAAATGAAAGTTCAGGTCTTTTCTTGCAGCTAGCAGAATCTTTCAAGGTGATATCTCCACGGACAGATATTCTCCCCTCTGCTCTTCAATCCACTTGTTGGACCAATAATATCTAGGAAGACAATGATTTCTCAGGACTTTGAGCATGGAGTATTCTGTTTACACAATTAGTTAACAGTAAGTATGTTTTGTTTTGCACCTAATTTTTTTGTTTCTTATTCTTTCTTCCTCTTTCAGTCACCACTGTTCACTGCTCCTCCAAAAAACCTACTGTACTATTTAGACACCTAATGTAGAACAAAGTCAGGATCTCCTTCACGAAGTTAGTTGGACTTTCCATTGGCTGTGTGAAGGATGTAAGAATTCACTGTAGCATGGGTGACCACTTGTGACCACTTGAAGTTTCAGCATATTTTTGTCCCATGCAATTATTGCCTCATGTGGATATATTAGATCCAAATTATAGGATTTAACAAAAAAACTGCTTAGTTGTGATAAGGCAGGCAGGCAGGAAGGAAGGCAGGAAGGAAGGCAGGAAGGAAGGAAGGAAATGGGGCAGAAAAACAAATTGTAAGGTTTCTTAATCATAAGAAAAGACAAAACCTGGTATTAATATTCAAATATTAATATTCAAATATGGGAAGGGTGGCTTCAAGGAGAAAGACTTCAAATTGCTGTCCATGTTTGTTGAAGATGCAAGAGAGGATCATTATGAAAGGTGCAATATGGAGTTTTATTGAGTTTAGACATTAGGAAAGACAAAAGAAGAAACTGTGAGAACAGTGAAGTAAATGAATAGATTGCCTAGGGAATTTTTGGAATCTCCAGACTGGAGGTTTTTAAAAACGGGATAGACAAACATCTGTCAGGGAAGATTTAGATACAGCTGGTTCTGCCTCAGGGTAGGAGAAGGGATTGAACATTCTTTCTATCTCCCTTCCAGCTCTGCTTGCTATGAATCTATGATAAACGACAATAATACTTCAACAGTAGGCACTGAGAGGTCACTCAGGTAGGGACAGAAAAGAAAGAGTAATAGCAAGAAAAATCAATGAGGTTTTACCCATCCTGGGTATCTCTTGCTTCCTCAACTGTACCTTTTTTAGAAATGTTTCCAAAGAAGGAAAAAGGTATTATGAAAGCACATTTTATTAATATTTTGAGAAGCCAGAGCTCAAGACCAAAGTGGAAACATGATACGGAAGATAAGGCAGAAGACAAATTAAAAAAAACAGAATCCAAGCAGAGACAAGGTAACTGTCATAGACAAAGACTATTATTCCCACAGTGGTTTTAATTGTGCATCAGGCCAAAAAAGATAAGGCTTTTTATATTAATCTTTAAATGTTACAAAAAAGCAATTCTTCTTTGGGTCACTACCCAGCGACAATTAAGACAGATCAGATAGGTGATTATGACAACATTAATACAAACATACAAAAAAGGTATTTCCCTCCCTAGGATTAATATGCAAAAGTATGTGATAGTTTGCATTAGAATATGCAATCTGAGAAGCTGATATATGTGACTATATTTGTGAAACTGATTGTATTTAAATATCTTTATTGCAAGGCACATGCACAAAACAGCGTTAAGACAATCACATTATTTTTTCTTTTCATGAATTTTGCATGTTTCGCCATAGAGAACTAATGCTGTATTCAACACTACAATGGTATAAAGCATTCCCCATTACTTAAAAAACATTTTTAAATATATTAAGCCTGTATTATTTTTGCTACATTTTAGCCTGTTAGAGATTCTCATGTTCATGTAATTTTTTTTTTTGTTGGGGGGAGAGAAACACAAAAATAACAACATCCATGTATACACTCAATCTGCTGTCACATCATAAGCACCCATTTTCTCTTTCTGAGGCCCAGAAGAAATTAATTTCTGAATCTTATTCAGATGTATGGTCAACAATTTTACTTCAAATGGCACCAAATGCAATATTTTAAATTCAAATACTGATTTTTAAAACTTTGTACAAATTTTACCATTTTGTCTGACAGAAGTAGGTTTATTTTCAAGAACACACCTGGAAATCCTGCTTAAATACATATGGAAAACAATAAGTAAAGGGTTTGCTTTATCAGTTCTATATTGAATGCTTTCTTTCTGTTCTTGTTTCACAGAAAATTAATGATTTAATAAAAATGAAGAACTTGCATATGCATTAATCCTTTAAGACCGTTCAGTCATCGCTATGCATACATGTAGGCAGTATAATGCATAAATGTAAACAAGGGATGTGTGTTTTTCTTCTCATTTATGCCATCATTTTATTGTGCTGTTCTTTACTTTGTATGCAGGCAAGGGGTCAATCACTGGACTTTTTTTAAGAGATTATTTCAGATACATATTAAAATGGAATTAATTTAAGTACTCAGATAAGACCATTTTTCACTATCTGCTGCCAGTTACTTTTTTTTTTTTTGCCCCAGAATGTCATTATCTGCAAAAAATCTTTTACTTTTTCACTAAAAAGAACTGAAGAATCAACATTTATCACTGGATCAGCCTTTACAGCACAAAATACTCTCTGATTGCCTTGACTGTTTGATGAGAGGGTGTGGGCAAAGCAAGAGGAGAGAAGAATCATAGTAGTATCCCAGTAAGAAGCAGGATTTAAATGGTATAAATAGCACCGATACGATGAAAACATCTCCTCAGCCATTCCCAGCTAAGCTTCACGTCCTGCATTTCTATTCCAGTGATCCTGCAGCCTGTAACAGACACAATAAAGGTTGTCAGGAAGAGCATGCCTGGGCTGACCACCTCTGAAAGCTCCAGGTCTGCACCGAGCTGCTCCCGTTTCTGCCCAGACTTCTGCTATGTGATCATTTCCCAAATGCTGGGTGCAGCCACGTGTAACCTCAAAAGGGAATGAAAATGGGACAAGATAGGGGTCAGTGGCAAGTGGCCATGCACAGCTGGGGCTTGGATGGAGTGGAGTGGAACAAGGACAACAAAAAGGATGGCATTTTTTTTTCTCATGTTTTGACAGCAACTTACTGGAGACATTTCCACCCTCTCACAGACTCTGCAGAGCAAACTGTCTTTTAGCTGAGAAGAGAGCCATAAAAGTCTAAGTGAAGATGAGTTACAGACCCGAGAATAAAATGTGTTTGGTGAATGAAAGTGTAAACATCACTGAATATACCAGTTAATACTTCAGGTATGTAATTTTCTCCACTATGGGTTTCTCCTTAAACCTGCTCATTTGTTGGCACTCAAACAGATCTAACAAAGCCCAAGAAAAAGCAGAGGATAAATACTTTGCTGCCCATGTCACAAGGAGACTGCTTTCAATATTTCTATGTTTGAACAAAAGTCTAGATTTTAATATATATAACACAATTTCCCACTGATTATCGTCCTTGTTTGCTATATTTAACATTACCTATGTTAAAATGGATTAAGAAATATTCTGCAAAGACACTGAAAAGACAGAGCTAGGATAAATTATGGAATAAACATAAAGAAAAACTGGCAAACATTTACAACTGTAATGTCCCAAACCAGTTTCATTAACTGCAGTTCTGATTTATTTCCCCATCCTACTGTTTTCAAGATCTGCACCTTTTCTTTCTTCTTTGGGATGAACAAAGATCATGGAACAGATTGTAAGTGAGGCAAATTACATGGCTGTTTATGGTTGTGTTACACATATTATATATATCATTTGCAAACTATTCCCTAAAGAAATGTATCAAACTTTTGGGGACAAGAAAGGAGCTGATGACAATCTGCTTTAATTTCTTTTCTTTCAGATGCTCCATGATAATTTAATGCTTTATTTTCTTAGATTAATTTCTTGTAGTGCAGCTACTGCTTTCCCATCATTGTCCATTTGGGGATTTTTTTGTTCTTTTTTGCTTTAATATTCATTAACTATATTATTTGATTGAATGATGCCATCACAATTGGAAGAAAACAAGTCCAAGTCTATTTGAACAAAATCATATATTTTCTCTGTAAACATTCTACTTTAGATAAAATACAAAGGCTTCTGTGTTTTTGAGTTTGAGTTTGGTTTTGGGGGGGGGGGGGTTGGTGCCTTTTTGCTTTTAATACACACATTTAAAGATATAGCAATATTCCAAAATCCTTAAGTTATGTACACAATTAATCTGCAAACTTCAGCACTATGGTAATTTTACATGGATTTTTTTATGAAGTGACTTAGCATGGATGCCTTTACTTTTTAAGCTGCAAAATTTTAAAATAAAGTTCTGTTCTTCATATTTTCTTCTGGGTAATGTCTGCACAGTGTTGGTTTGAGCAATAATTATCATACAGTTTGGATTAAAAGATAACTTCAGCTAAACACCAGAATCACCAAAGGTAAGTGTTCAGGAAAAAAAGGACAAGTCCTATGAAATGAATAGAATTATTAGCAGCATTTCCCAAAGACAGGACTATTATCAGCACTCTGGAGTACCTTTTAGTTAAACAAAAATCTATAAACTTTAATAGAACTTCCTTTAAAATGAAAATGACTGTTTAAAATGAAAATTAATATCTATTTTTTATTCCTTTTAAATCAGCAGTTTGGAAAACATGTAAATAAAAGAAAAATCTCCCCCTAACAAAAAAACAAACAAACAGACAAAACAAAAACAAAAACAAAAAACAGAAACAACGTCTTTAAATCAATAGGGTGTCATAAGTCATTTGAAGACAAAATCAAGCTGTTGAAAGCAGATGAAATTTAAATATTTGGTAGCACTCTATCTTGTGATCTAGAAAAATTAGTACAATGATTTTTTAAAATTCAATTTAAAAAGCAAGCAAGTAAACAATAAAGAAAAAGATACCGTTTTTAGCTATTTCATGGAAGGAAAAAAAGCAAAGGCTAACTCCAACCCAGGAAAACTTTCAGTCAATCAAGTTGCATCGCAGATTCAGTCAGTAAGTGTTAGGAAACAAAAACATTACAATGTAAGCTCATCGTATTTACAGGCAATATTTGCTTATTCAGGTAATTAATCATCATGATTAATTATACTAGAAGGTGGACAGATTATTTCAGTAAACCAAGATTACTTGCCCATGGGTAGAGATCTAGGAGCTGGATATGTACACTTTCACTAATAAATGATAAGGATCACTGGTGAGGAAGGTTGCAGAGCTTGGGAAAAGTAGTAAGTTACTAAGTGAAACTGCTTTTGGCAACTATTGACCTTTGAGTTCTTAAACTGGAGCATATATAAACAACACAATGTTCTCTGGCAAGTTTTCCCTGATAACCTGCTGGAAAAGGGACAGAATATCCTCTAGCCATTTTGCATGCACAATTTAACAATTATGTGGTCAGAGGAAGGATGATTCTTTTAAGGTGTTGGTAGATGAATGGTAGATGTTCACAGGCTTTACACATTTACAAAGGAATTTCAAAATCTAACACAGCGTAATCAATATCAACTCCAATTCTTCTATACTGAGATAAATGATATTGATCACTGTACTGGGAACACACACACGAGAACAGAAAGAGAGGAAGGATTCAGAAAAGCAGGTCATATGGATCAAAAGCATGGCACTGGCAATACTGGCTTAAGGAAAAAATGTTAAAGTGATGCTGTTTCACTCAGCATGGAAAAATTGTTTTGATGTATTTAAAAGCAGTGCATTTTAAAAAAGAAGCACTGAATTTATTTCAAGTTACTATTATAGTTGAATAAAAAATTTCAAAATTATATCAAAAGTTAGTTTTAGATAATTATTATAATCAGGAAATATGCTTAGAATGAGAATACAAATTATTTATAATTCTACCCTTACTTGAAAATTAAATTTTCATTTCAAAGTTGAGTAAAAATTTTGCAAAATAAACATTTTGTAATACATTTTACAATGTATTAAAAACACAGCAATGCAATCCAAATTAAGCTGTGAATGCACACAGAGTTTGCCTTTTGAATTTCTTTTATCTGTCAGACCTTCCAAGTTTTCTGGGTTATACTCAGGAGCAGAGGGTAAGAGAAGCACATCCAAAAGTCTTAGCAGCCACAATTTTATTTCTAATTGGTGTTCCCACACTCTTCGTGCATTCATCAATCAGATGTAAATTACATGTATGCCTGATTGGGTCTCCTTCACCCTAACCATTCCCTGCTGACTGGCAGTGCTTGCCAACTGCTGCAGCGGGCAAGATGAGCAGCAGTAACAGCACCTCTACTGTTTTGGTAGGTCCTGGCCACCAGCAGTATCATAGATAACAACTGCTCACTTAACACCTATTGAATGTCTTGAGCACAATTGTCCCTTTGAAGAATGCAGCTGTCACCTTTGATCAAGCATGAGACATCACTGCCAGCATGTAATATAAAAGAGTAGGTCCATAAATTCAAACACTGTGGCAATTCCAGAGGAGCTCCTTTATTCTGGAAACAAGCACAGTAAAATGCCTAATCGGTGTGGAGGGAAGAGGCACAGCAGATAGAAGCTGCAAAAAAGCTTTTTTCATAATATTTAAACCTAGTGAATGATCAGACAAATTACTGTAAAGTCAATACTCCAAACAAACCAGAGGGATGGGTTGTGCATCACTGGAAAAATTTAATAAATACACAAGTTGAAATAGTTGAAGTCACTTTCCAATGTAGCATACAGACATTATTCTATAGTCTCCAGTTTGTTAAAGAACAGTTCTTACACTACATAAGCATAAATTTAGGGTACTTTAAAGCAGAATTCTGTCTAAAATTACCCTCAAACTGGCATACCCTCTTAGCTAGCCCCTTTGAAAGGATTGCCAAGTCCAAAAGGAGCCTGAAGAGATGTTTATGTGAAGTGGGGAAAGGGACAAGAAGAGCAGTGGGAGGAGAAGGGCAGACATGGTGTTGTTTGGCCAAGTGGACAAGGAAAAGAAATCATGAAAATTCATAGATCAAATTTTTTAATTTTTTAATTGAGGTGTGCCCGTTTAGTGGCAGTATAGATGGTAGCACTGCTTTTCATTGACCCCAGCAGTATTTCCAGGGAATGGGAATAATGAGTCCTGTGTGTGTCATTGACAGAAAGGTATGAACCATTCACAGTTTTATCATTGTGTTGGGCAGAAACAGGCTCTCTTCATCTTCACTGATAGATGTTGTTTTGTTCTGTGTTTTTCTTGAACCAATGTCTTAAATGCAACCTTCTCTTTCTGAGTGACTACGACTGATGTTCCCTCATTGCTGCCTGTGAATACTGAAAGTGAGTTCATTTTTTCTGTGGCCAGCACTGAGCAAAGACAGTGGAGCATCCAGAATGGAAAGGCAGAAAGGCTCAGGTTTGAATATCAGGAGTGGCATCTGGAAGACAAAAATCTTCAGCTTACATGAGAAGGAAATATACTATTTGGGGTACAGATATTAGTCCCTGTTATGAATATCTAAACTACATGGGGGTTACAAACATTGTCAAATATTAGGTAAAAGTGCATGGTTGAATTAATTTCATTTAATGATACACTGACTTTTGAATATATAATGTCTATAAGTGACCCAACAACATTTCTATCATCATTCATATATCACAACTAAATCACTATTATATCACAAAATACACCTCTGTATAATATTAGGAATATGTTTTGTAACCAAAGGAAGTGGAAGTGTGGGAGGAAAGAGCAAATGAAAAGTTTATGTGGGATGTATTATGAACATAAGAAGGTAAGAGGAGTGGTCAAATGCTGCCTGGAAAGATGGGCCATATATGTGACCAACAACAGAAACCT